AATGTTCCATCTTCAAACAGTCCCTGCTGATAATTTGTTGATCGACTCATTTTTCCTGTGAGACATAATCGAGTTTTAAACCCATGAGTAAGGTCAAATCGGTCATTGAAAATATTTATTATTTGCTCCCTAAGTACCCCAAGAGTATTGATTAGATCTTGTGCATATATGCTTTCTTTTCCTATCTCAACTTGATAATGATCGTCTAATAATTCACATCCTGAACTAATAATATCCGTTTGATGGAATTGCGAAATAGGTTCTAATATTCCTAATGCTTCAAGATATTCTCTTTCAGCCTCTGGAGATGAGTTAGCCTCTGAATGACTACTTTCACCAATTTCTGAGGAATCAAATAAGGGCGGGGCTCCATTGCTTTGCAATAATCCCAATGCATCGAGATATTCTATTTCTGGATTAGGGAGTGAAGCTGTATTTTGATTTGGTAAATTTCGTTGTCAGCAGGGGTTTTTTCGTTTAAGATGAATACGTAACTTAGCTAATTTTTTAAATTCATGACTACATCTATTACATGTATGTACTACTATATTGGTACCAAAAGTTTTATAATATACTTATAAAAAATCTTTTGTTCAAATTAAATATTTACCTTATATATCTAATATATCGTAAATTTTAGTACCATTGTTATATATTCTAGTTATAAAATCTGTCCTAACTTTTTTAGTACACGAATTTTGGTAATCAAATTTTAGTACCATTGTTATATATTCTAGTTATAAAATCTGGCTTAACTTTTTTAGTACACGAATTTTGGTACCCTTGTTATATATTCTAATTATAAAAATTGTCCTAACTTTTTTGGTATACGAATTTTGGTACCATTGTTATATATTCTAGTTATAAAATCTGTCCCAACTTTTTTAAAAAAGGTATCAAAAAATTAATGAGACGGTTGGAAGTAAATAAGAAATTGAATGTGTTATAGAATAGTAATTTTTTTTGATATTGTAAATAAAGATAAATCGTGAAAATATTAAATTGTAAATAAACATTGAATTGATATAAATCTTGATGGTTAAAAATAAAATGAGAACTAAATAGTTAACTATGCTCCGCTTTACTTCGCAACTGTTTCACATTCACCCTTTGATATTCATGCTTTACAGTAACAGAAGATTAAATAAAGTTTAGAAGAGAATTAGAATAGTAAAGAAAATAATATTAAATTTAGGCTTGCTGATACACGTCACACTCAGCTTCAGGACATTCGTCCTTTAGCTTTCTGATCCTTTTTTTATAGCAAACGGAGTAGTAATATGAAGACGTAGCCAAAAAAAAAAATCACACCTCATTCGAGCGTGGCGAGAAAAAAATTAAGTAAAATGGTATAAAAATCGATATAAGAGAAAAGCTTACTATGTGACGAAAAAAGAAAAATGCTATACATATTGAGGTACCGATTTTTGTCTCAACTCTCTCAGAAATATACTACTCCAATTCTTACTTCAGACATCTACCCAATAAGCAAAATGCAACTTGAAGAACAGGAAAGACATTTGTTATTGCAGGATGTAACATCTCATACTGGAACGTTTCGGAAACTAATTCTACCAGACGATCTGGAATTTCTTTATTGGTAACAGCAAGAAGAGCAAAATCGAGACGTAGCTTCTTCTTCACAAGAATTACATCTGACTAAAGGGGTATTACCAGCTATATATCCAGAAAAAATAGTACAGGGTAGTCTAATTACTAATACATTTCCTAATGTACATTTAACAAATGTCACCAGGATAATTCGATCACTTCGAACTGGAGATGATATGTGATATACATCGGGACTAGATTTCTTTGATTCAATCAGACATCTTGCTATTTCAGAAAGATCCGCTCCTTCGCAAAAAAACTCAACTTTCTCACATAAACAAGAATTCATACGGCATTTAAACCAGGTATTACCTAAATCTGCTGGAGCCGATAATTTTAATATTCATGTTTATAGTTCTGCACCTCCACGGGTTTCTACAGAAAGATCGAATCCAGATATTCTCTGGCAAAATACTTATGAAAATTCATCCATAGCTAGATTACTACTTCCTGAATGGTGAAGTCATATTGACGATGTAACGATTTTGGGGAATTCAGAAGAAACTGTCTTTGGATCTAATGCATCTGGAGGCTATGGTATTGCTCCTACTGGACCTAAAACTTTACGCACATATAAAGAAAGTGACTCTATGAATTTACATGACGAATTGGTTAATTCCTTTTAAAAAAGATAAGTTAATTGTATATGTTTATATATTTTATTTATTGTTAAACTATAATTCG